AGTCCCAGCCTTTCTTTATAACTCAAACGTTCTACACCTGGCAACATCCTGGTAAATCTTTTCTGAACCCTCTCCAGCTTAATAATATCCCTGCTACAACTGGGCGACCAAAACTGGGCACAGTATTCCAGAAGAGACCTCACCAATGTCCTGTACAACCTCAACATGACATCCCAACTCCTATACTCAAAAGACTGAACAATGAAGGCAAGTGTGCCAAATGTCTTTTTAAGCACCCTGTCTATAAGTGATGCAAACTTCAAAGAATTATGTACCTGAACCCCTAGGCCCCTCTGTTCTACAACACTACCCAAGGCCCTACCTTTAAATGTATAAGCCCTACCCTTCTTTGTTGTACCAAAATGCAAATCCTCACATTTAACCAGGGTAAACTCCATCTGCCATTTCTCAGCCCATTGACCCATTTGATGAAGTTCTCTTCGTAATCACAGAAAACCTTCTCCATTGTCTACAATGCCACCAATTTTGGTGTCAACTGCAAACGTGCTAACCATGCCTTCTATACTCTCATCCAAATCATTTTGCTCTCGAAAATTCAGGTTTAGCCAGATTTATGGCACTGATTAACCAGCTAGCTAAGTGACATAACTGATCTTCCCAGGTTTAGTTGAAAGCAAACAAATTGTCAATGTGAATAATTCAGTTACCCGGACCTTCACTGACTTTATTAGTTCACAATGAGAACATTGCTAGTGCATGTTTTCATTCCAAGTTACATAGCTTCTAACTGCCAAAGATCATCTGGTGTTACAAAAGCGGAGATTTCTTTGACCCTGTTGGTCGATGGAACTTGCCAATATCCCTTTCCCAGCCAACACTGGTGATGTTGGGAAATGCAGGGATAGGGAAAGGGGTGGGTCTGGGAGGGATGCTCTTTGGAGGGTTGGTGTGGACTTGCTGGGCTGAATGGCCTGCTCCACACTGTAGGGAATGTATGATTCTATGATTCTATGTCATAACCCATGGCACAGACACTGGCCAATGCTCTCTTCCAACTTCTTCCATCAGGCAGAAGATACAGAAGCTTGAAGACAGGCACCAACAGGTTCAAGAACAGCTTTTTCCCTGCTGTTATCAGACTGCTGAATGGACCTCTGTAATTTGAAATCTAATGTTGATCTTGCTTTTGTGCACCTCCTTTGCCATTGTAACCTTTTATGCCTCACTCTGTTTAAGCGCCCTCTGATCTGTATGTCCTTGTTTGCTATCCTGCTTATACTACCCGCAAAACAAAACTTTTCACTGTACTTTCACTGCGATAAATCAAATCAAATCAAATCAATTCAGGCTCTCAGAAATAAAACAAAGAACTGCAAGTGGTGGAGATTTAAAAGAAACAGAAATTGCTGGAAACACTCAGCAAGTCTTGTAGTATCTGTGGAGAGAATACAATGCTGATGTTTCAAGTCCAGCCACCCTTCTTTGAAATGTTTTTTCTGTTTCTGAGCAACAGAGACAGAGTTGCTATTAATGTTAAAAGTTAATGAAACTGTGAAAATCTCAATTACCCTATTCAGGGCAACAGAAAACCACACCAGGTTTTCCTCAGTCACAGAGTAATAGAAAACTCTACTCCAGCACTCACCATTTTTAAAAGAACAGTAAAAAAAAAGTTTCTGTAGTTTATGTAACTAAATCTCTACTGTGTTTTATAAAAAAAATTCTCACGCACGCACAATAAAGAAAAGAGATAAAAACACAAATAGTATGCAATGACAGAAAAATGTCAGAAGAACACAATTCTCTATCACTAGTCCAGGTCAAAAAATTAAACTGGTTTGGTCTTATAATTCTTTCAGTTCTTCAATGATGCCTAAATGCTATATGCACAGAAATGGTTGCTTATTTGGACTGGGTTCTTCCTGGTTGTCTTTAGGTTTTAGAATTATTTCATTCAGTGTATCTCGCTGTAGCTTTTTAAAAATCTTTTCTATCTTTTGGCAGAAACTCAGAGACAGCAACTTTCAAGAGAAAGGCAAAAGAGAGAAAGACAGAGGGATTGATGCAGCTAACTTCAGCAGGTCTCCTGATCTGCTCTTCTTTCATAATCCTGTGTTAAACTGCAACCTGACCAAGCAGAGGACTATCGCTATACTGAGTCCTCTTCAACTCGTGACAAGTGACACTGATCCATCAAAATTAAGCTTCCCAGAATGATGGCATTGTCCCCTATGTACTTGTTAACTCAGAGTCATTGAGCTGTACAGCATGGAAACAGACCCTTCAGCCCAACTAGTCCATGCTGACCAGGTATCCTAAATTAATCTAGTTCCATTTGCTACCATTTGGCCCATATCCCTCTAAACCTTCCTATTCATGTCCCCATCCAGATACCGTTTAAATGTTGTAATTGTACCAGCCTCCATCACTTCCTCTGGCAGTTCATTCCATACACACACCACCCTCTGTGTGAAAAAGTTGCCCCTCAAGTTCCTTTTAAATCTTTCCCCTCTCACCTTAAACCTATGCCCCTCGAGTTTGGGACTCCCCCCTCCCCAGGAAAAAGACCTTGTCTATTCACCCTATCCATGCCCCTCATGATTTTATAAACCTCAATAAGGTCATCCCTCAGCCTCTGACACTCCAGGGAAAATAGCCCCAGCCTGTTTAGCCTCTCCCTGTAGCACAAACCCTCCAACCCTAGAAACATCAGTGCAAATCTTTGCTGAACCCCTTTCAAGTTTCACCACTTTTAAAAATTGTGGGGTAAACATAAACACGATACAGCTGTTTTTTTTCCTCCAAAACTATGTTTCTTTAAAAAGAGACACATCCCTCTTGGCTTCAATGAACTCAGATCCCACAAGGCTGCCCATCACAGCTCATGTTAGTAATGTTTAAGTCAGATTCCAGAATAAAAATTGACTTCATAGATCATATATTGTTGAACATAGAAACAGAGAAAACAGGTACAGGAGCAGGCCATTCGGCCCTTCCAGCCTGCTCCACTGTTCAATACGATTGTGGCTGATCATGCAATCTCAGTATCCGATTCCCGCCCTCTCCCCCACACCCCTCAATCCCTTTAGCCACAATGTCCACGTCCAGCTCCACCTTGAATATATCTATCCAACTGGGCCCCAACAGCTTCCTGTGGGAGAGAATTCCATAGGTTCACAACTCTCTGAGTGAAGAAATTCTTCCTCATCACAGTCTGAATGGCTTACCCCTTATTCTCAGACTGTGACCCCTTCTTCTGGCCTTCCCCAGCATCGGGAACATTCTTCCCACATCTAGCCCGTCCATTCCCATCAGGATTTTATATGTTTCTATGAGATCCCCCTTATTCTTCTAAATTATAGCAAGTACAAGCCCAGTCGATCCAATCTTTCCTCATATGTCAGTCCTGTCATCTTGGGAATCAGTCTAGTGAACCTACGCTGGATTCCCTCAATAAAAAGTTATTCCTCAGACTGGGAGACCAAAACTATATGCAGTACTCAATGTGCAGCCCCAGAAAGGCCCTGTATTATTGCAGCAAGACATCCCTACTCGGATAACATTGTGATTTTTCACTGAAACAAAATCAGACCTAAAATATACCTTATTAAAACTGAAAGAACTGTGGATGCTGTAAATCAGGAACATAAACAAAGTTGCTGGAAAAACTCAGCAGGTCTGGCAGCATCCGTGAAGGCAAAAAACAGAGTTAACGTTTCAGGTCTGGTGACTGAGGAAGGCTTACCGGACCCGAAACGTTAACTCTGTTTTTTCCTTCATGAATGCTGCCAGGTCTGTTGAGATTTTCCAGCAACTTTGTTGGTGTTCCTAAAATATACCTTAACCTGCACATTCCTGGGCACTATGGGACAATTTAGCATGGCCAATCCACCCTAATCTGCACATCCCTGGACACTATGGGGCAATTTAGCACGGTCAATCCACCCTAACCTGCACATCCCTGGACACTATGGGACAATTTAGCATGGCCAATCCACCCTAACCTGCACATTCCTGGACACTATGGGGCAACTTAACACGGCCAAACCACCCTAACCTGCACACCCCTGGGCACTATGGGACAATTTAGCACGGCCAATCCACCCTAACCTGCACATTCCTGGACATTATGGGACAATTTAGCACGGCCAATCCACCCTAACCTGCACATTCCTGGACACTATGGGACAATTTAGCACGGCCAATCCACCCTAACCTGCACATTCCTGGACACTATGGGACAATTTAGCATGGCCAATCCACCCTAACCTGCACATTCCTGGACACTATGGGGCAACTTAACACGGCCAAACCACCCTAATCTGCACATCCCATCTATATGTGATGCAAACTTCAAAAAAAAGTATGTCAACCCCTAGTTTCTTCAGTTCTACAACACTACCCAAAGCCCTACCTTTAAATGTATAAGCCCTACCCTTCTTTGTTGTAACAAAATGCAATTCCTCATATTTAACCAGGGTAAACTCCATCTGCCATTTCTCAGCCCATTGACTCATTTGATGAAGTTCTCTT